TATATATATAGACGTATTTAATCATGTGTGCAGTAAACGGTTATGATTTAATCAGATCGAATTAAACGTGCGTAGAAACGTGGACAAACCCTTGCTTTACTTGTGCCAAACCCTGCAGAGCTGCACTGTGAGTTCTTAGTAATCCTGCATTGTGATCGTCGACTAACTATTGCAATAGTATAATATTCGATTAACGATGAAAATGTTGTAACTTAAATCAGTAGGGTGGTCTTTCATAGCTAATCATTTCAACTACAACATCCAATGATCACCTGAATGTCACTTAACGGCACGAAAGTGCTGCTACCTTACGTTCTGTGGCTATTTGCTCACATCTTTTTGCATGTGTTACCGCAGGAGAAGTACGAGAACATCGCGAAGTCGCCGGCCTCGTGAAGAAACACTGGAGGTGCGGCTACGTCGAATGCTCGGCGAAATACAATTGGCACGTTGTGTCACTGTTTCGCGAGCTCGCACGGACCATTGAAGGACATCGGCCCGAATCTTCGGCAACGAAAGCCCGTGAACACCACGAGGCCAGCGACAAGAAGTGTGCTATCTCGTGATGATCGTAGAGGCCGCCTCCAGCTCGTACATGAAAACTGGAGGCGGCCCGGGACTGCTACGACGTGATCCCGCGCCTTATTTGAACACGCCCAGTAATCGATGATTGCAGGCAATCAAAACAAACGTAACAAGGCGACAGCGAACGGCCAGCTATAACGAACCATTTCTAATAACAAAAAGTGACCAGAACTAGAAAAACAATAATGACAGCCATTTAACTAACACCTGTCGAAATAACGTAAAATGAAACAACAAATATACGAAAAAAAAAACGCACAAGATGCAAAAAAGGTTGTCGCACGACAACGTACTTTCCCGAACTCATCTTTATGGAAAATTGATGGCGTGAACTTGTCCCGCCTATGCGGACTAGGAACCGATCGGAGGCTTCACGAGATTGAAGCGCTGAATTGGCAAAGCTTCAAAATCATTATGATCCTTATTGAGGACGAATGTAAGGATTCGGCACCTTTTTAACTAAATGTTCGTTACGGCTAGTTTTATGCTTGGCAGAAAATATCGAACAAAAGCACGGTATGCTTATGAAAATTTCGACGACCTGAAAGCAGAATACATCCAGGTGACTTTCTAGCTAAAAAATAAAGTACACTGACTATGGTAATAACAACAACAAAAGCATGTGTACGTAGCTTAATAATGGTTCACCACGTATCGTCTCTTCTTCAAAAGAGGATTCTATTAGCGTTCATGTGAAATGGAAATTCTCTCCGAAGAATACCGAAGATTGGAGCCGCATGGTTCCCGCCATATATGAAGAGTCAGCGGCACAATAAATTGGAGAAAAGAAATGGCGGTATCATTGAACACGAACATTGTCGCACTTCTAGAATATAATCTGTAAGAGAATTTTGTATAGGACAAAGGGGTCTAGTTTTAATTCGTACCAGTGTTAGACAGTCTGCCTGTATAGACAAGCAGGACCATTGCAGAGGGAATGCATATAATTACAGGAACCAATGCTGGAGAAATCTCAAAAAAAAATAACTCATCTTTCTATTAAATTAGGAAAATAAGTTATTCTCTCATTGTAAACTAAATAACACATAAACACTAGATAAGTAGAGTTAAACTGTCGAGAAACAGGGGAATCAAAAGAAGATCAAACATCCCTTGGAAGAGATATATATATATGCATACATAAAACAAATTTGAAGGATGCATCGAAAATCGCTCACAACTAAGACGACATAACGTAATTATATAATTGTTTTACCGATCGCTAGAGCTACCGATTGCCGTATACTATTAGGGACAGAGCTATATACATATATTGACAGAGTCGAATCAACGTGGACTTGCATGTAGAGAAGATAAGGGCGGTCCCTCTTCAACCAATTCGATTACCTTAAGACTTGTGTATTTATCATGACGCAGAGCCCTCACGTGCGATGTACCCCCAAGACTCGGTTTCGTTATGTTGTTAGCAAAGGTCGTTAAGTTCACGCTCACATGATGATTCATCACCTGCAGACCTAGTCGGATGGATGAGCGTAGGGATTACTGAAGGCACCGTAAGGTCCGACTCGCTGTATTGGCAGGGCACGTTATACGGTATTGGTGATAACAGTCCGACATAAACTCTAAAACACCGGCAGGCAGACATATATGCACACAGAGACCTACACAGACATACAGAGGGGGGAGAAATACAAAGAACACGCCTTTCGAATACGCATCACCTGACATAACACGAACAATGACAAGGCCAATGGTTTGCGGACGCTAGGCAAATTGAAACCAGCCCAATTGCACCTGGAAAGTGAATAAATACTGAAAAAATACACAGTAGTAATATTAACATAAACTACAATATTAATAATAATCTAGTATATACATAATACCAAATAGTAGCAAAAACCGATAATACTAACGACATATACTCCACACATACGGGTGCGTCACGTTGATTATAACTAACTGTGCTTAGAAATGGCAATGCGTAATGGCATCGGTGTCCTGACACGCAAAAATATGGAACGCGAAGCATGGTTGTACCATAGATTGCACCATAGATCTATACCTACGTATATCCACCCATAGAGTACTATGCAGCTTTGCCTTAATACAAACTTCTATGACAATTCTCATCGAAAAATACCCGTGCCGTTACGCAAGACAGGGCGACCGGATATGAACGGGCTATGATTCGGAGGCGAGCATATACAATCCTGCAAATATAGCCTGTTTCTTTTGTGTCGACCACAAAGCTTATTCCAAAATGATTTTTCCAAAAAGGTAGTGGGCAGTACTCCGTGCAACGAGGGTCAGTCAGCGTTCTTTGTAAACGCTGTTCATGAAGTATGATTACCTAAGCCAGCAATCAGCGATTTGAATGAGCCTTGGTACAGGCATATTGTGATAGAATGGGTCAGGAATTCGTTGGGTCTTTAGCAAATCCACTGTCCATCGAGTAAATGGGCTGTCCCGTCATCATTGACATTTGAAGCTCAATAGAAATAAATACGATTAAATTTGAGTAAATATACATGGTTTTTCCCCAGGCAATAACACAGCCAAGAAATAAATTGGAGACCATATATTAGACACTGAGTGTAGTAGGTTCCAAAGGTATTGTATAATTTATTCCGATTAACAAAAATCTGTTCTCCATTTGAATTTTATGATGAATTTGTTTTGCAGCAGAGGTTGTGTGGAAGTTTATAATAAATATTGTGACGACACCGCGTGACGGTATTTCGTAGATGCTGAAATAACAAGACAAGTTAACTTCGGGCTACGGAGGGCGATGGTACAAATATTTACGTTTGTTGTTTAATTTTCTAAATAGATTTTTTAGGGATTCACATTTACATTGAAGGAACTATAATAGCTCCAGTGTAGGTGCATTTTCTTGATCGTAATTACTCTCATCTATGGGATTCTTTTATTAGCTACATCGTTTGCCGAAGTTATTAGGCGAAGGCTTTGGAGATTTCTGTCAACGGAACCCCAAGACTTAGGTTGCGTTGATAGACTACCCTACATATCCTAACAAGGTTGAATTTGCAAAAATATATTTTTATTTAATTAGAGCGCCGGTAAATTTGTACCATCGCTCAGCCCTTTAGACCGACAGATTGACATGTTACACGGTTTTGCGAGCGAAACTTTACAAGCACACAGCACACGCGAGCAAATACCGCAGTAGATTTGATTTAAATATTATATAGAAGTGAAATTTATTCATCAGCCTCCATCGCAGTGCCTGTTGATTTGTAGCATCGATGCACATTAATATACTCGGATATTTAAATGTAAACGTATAACTCTTATGGGCTTTACATGAAATACACCCCTTCTTAGCATTCATTTTATCATTTTCAAATGTTATCGTAACGTTTTTTCAGTTTTACGTTTCTTCGCAGTATCAGCTAGCGAAGACGCAAGCTCTGTCGCTTGCTTGTGAGACCGATTACCGTAAATTGTTCGTTAGATTTCTAATATTACGCCTCATAGAACAGAATAGGAGTCAGTTACGTTTACGACTGTCACTACGTTGCTAACAAAAATAATTAGATATGATAAATATTAGATCTTTTCATCTAATAATGTAACATATAGTAAGCGGGACCTACATTCGCCATATATATATGTATAGAGAGAGCAAATATGAAGCAAACCCGTAAAGTTATCCTGCGAAGGGCGCATCCATATCGCTATGATGAACCTAACTAACTCCACAAGAAGTGTGGGACAAAATGAGAGCCTCCGGAGAACAAAATAAGGCGTACAGGAGTTTCATACGCCGTGACATTTTCCGCGGAGACGGTTATGGCGAACGTCATTGACTTTACGAGGGTATTTGGGTACCTTATCTTACATCTGTGTATATAGAATGGCTTGTTTATCGTGCGCAATAAGGCTACAGTCCGGCTTCACTATACGAACTATGTGTAGCCCAAATCCAAAAGGCCATCCTATCCAATAGGTTCTTGTTCCACACTGGAGATGCCACTTACAACGATACTAGTTTTAGACAATCTGTAAATAGACGTGTGCCAAAGTGACGCTAGAAATCGATCAAAGGACGGCATCCACAGAATGTGGCCACCCGGAAACAGGACTTGGATGTGAAACAATCGGCAGTCTAGGTGCGAGTTTGGATGCGAGAACTGTATAGGAACAAAATGAGTCTTTTACAGGGTCGCGGAGAGAGCATGAAGCTCTTCACATTACGCTCATTGCTAACAATAAGTAGACTCAATCTAATATAGAAAGCAACGGTGACTTAGTGTGCAGTTCATCATTTCGACAGTCAATACTATATATATATATATATATGTAATAAAGAAAAGTTACAATATATACATATATATATATATATATATATATATTGTAACTTTTCAAAAGTATTCAATCGCTATGTTATTTCAGATATAATTACTTTACGGAGATTCGAAAACCCCTATTTGTAAAGCATGCAAAAAAGGATCCGTCTATGGGTCATTCGTTTACCAAGAGACTAACCCTAATATTTATTTACCATAACCTTTTTTTATTATCATAATATTTTTCATTAGTTACGATGTGGCACAACTATGTAAGCTAGCTAGTTCTCAGAGTCTGTGCTATATATTCTGAAGATACGTTTTCTCTTTTCATTAACTGTTTTCATGACATGAAAATATGGCCAAGATACCGAAGTGCTCGACTACCCTCTACATGTACCGTATACATAGACGCTGTTCGGGAAAAGATGGTGCCATATGGACATTGATATTCAGACAAATACATCTCTGGCTGACATGCTTATCCAGAATTCGTTCGTTTCGAATACCCCCCTAGCCTAAAGCCTAAAATAGTAACAAGCGATTTTTAAAGATGCTTGATTCATGTTCACGGACCTCTTAGAAACAATAATAACAGTCAACTAAATGTTGTTTCGAAAATCCAAAATAGGCCCAAAGAAGTTATTTTTTGGCATATATTTGGTTGATCGAATAGGCGATAGATCATCTCCCCCAATGAGATAACTGCTATTATTTTTTCATGGGCTGTCTGCACCGTGAACAACGGTATGTTGTTTTCGATGCCTTTCGGGCCGATGAAGTACCCAGCTAAAATTTATCCCAAGCCAATTTGTCGCAAATCAGAAACGGCACACATGTTCCTACTAAAAAACGGTCAACGACCGTAACCGGAACGAACACTAGAATACGATAAGGTTTCGATGTTACGTTTGTATAAATCAAACAAAAGTATAGTAGACCTTTGGTCACACTATGTAACATAGCTTGCACTAGCCGTGCGTGAACCCTACGTTTAATTACGAGGCTTGACGATTGTTCGTACGATACGTACATATATATAGTCGTCCGAGCAGCCAACGTATTTTCCGTTGTTGTTCTTCTTTATCCATAAACCCATCTTCGTTGGCTGCCTTGGTTTTTAGCTAGCAAGGTAGCTAGAAACCACATAGTTCATCTATACGTAGATTTCCATATACATAGAAGTTAATTTTGAGGTCGTATGGTTATTGTACTCGTTTTCGCAACTAGCGCCACCTGTTGCTAATAGCTAATTCGATTCACATTTCCATATTTATTAAGATTTTACATTACAGCGTTTTGTGCGTGTCATTTTGTAATTTTCCTAGACATTTCGTATATGGGACGGCTGCTGTTGAAACCGTCGATAACATGGTTCTACCGTAAGAGGATCCAAGACACCAACAATAGTAATCGTGATCGAGTTAGATACGTGCGAGTTCGCGTTACTGATCAGCGATGCCACGCCAAGTAGCTAACACTTATATATTAGATCCGTTTATCTATCAAATCGGTACAATTGCCTCTCACACGACCTGGAACAGAGGCTATGCGATCAGAAGCAAGCCGAGAAAATGTTCTTTGGTATTTTTTCCTCTATCAGTAATGCACATGTGTACAACAAACGACGCGATTAGACATGCACACATTTACTGGGCCCGTGGTGGAAAAACGTACGTATTCCGCATACTTGAGCAGCGCCAACAGCCACTAAAAGAAGCTGAATTATATTTTATTCAACTATCACTATTCCTAGAAAACGGCGGAACATCGCGGCCATTTTGGAAAGGCGATCACTCAATCATGATAAGGGGAAGGCTTAACAACGGGTAGCTGCTCGTTCGGATGCAAGGGCTATTAAGCCCACGTTTGAGAGTTCAGCTTATGTAATCCACAATCGTTGTGCATCTATGTAAAGTGTTTCATGACAAAACCACGCAGTCTACTTGGTTTGGTGGTAAAGTAAACACAATTGAATCCCGTAGCCAATACGTTGAGCTTTATTTATACGTATGCTTCTAATGGCAAGTCGCGTGGTTTGACCAATTCAGCTATCTAAACGCTAACTGTGTGGGGCAGGGCGTGCGCCAGCTCAATACGGCTCCATGCTAGAATAGGAAAACAATGTACGACATCCGCTGCCAAGAAAGGACCCAATTAGATTGCCAGCACTGTTTGACATCCTGTTAAAACATTATTCCGCAGCCCGATATCTGGGGACAGCCTGAATTATGTTGTCATGGTTAAGGCTATACATATATAGGCAGAGCCAAAAGACAAATAAGATCAAATGCCAAGCTTAAGAATGGCACAGTAAATTTCTGGTTTTGTTTGTAATCCTCACAATGATCCGCCTCTTGTGTTTTATAGTTTGGTGCTAAGCACCAAGTAGAAAACACGGGAGGCTTACCAACGAAAAGGCATCGAGTAACAAATGCAAAAAAGGATAGTTATTCTTCCGCACTGCACTTCCCTCCGATCTTACGTAGCTGACACCACGCCATATGCCACAGAGGGAGTAATCATAACAACTATATAGAATTCTTCTTCTATGTAACGGACGTGCCGTATTGTGGAAGAAGTTATGAAGAAAAAACAGCAAGAGGCCACTTACATCGTGTGCTTCTGACGCAAATACACCTCCACGCATCTGACCTCCAGATACGAAGACGGAAATAGTCCACATTGCCGTCTTCTCAATGAATACAATGACGTATTAAGAATATAAACATTAACATACTGCATAACAATAATGACGAAATGAAGATATGGCGATGTCGTAATGACGCAACGCAAAGTACCTTTGCGATGGCGACCACACGACCGGCGGCCTTCGCCCTAGTAAAACAGGCCGTGGCACCGGTTTGCCGTAGATTTTTGAACAAGCGAACGCGAACACTGAACTGACGAATGAAGTTCACAAACAGAAACCATTCATTCATCCATCGGGAGAGTGGAGGACAAAAAGATTAGAACGATCGCAGCAGAGGCAGCATCACAACATGATAACAGTATAAATGCAATAGGTAGGTTTAGCAATGAAAATTCATATAGTGCATGATGATGACGCCGTCGCGTCATACGCATGATTAAACATAGACAAGGACAAACTTTTACAAGGAAGTAGAAACTTGTATAAAGTTGGAAAAGAACCCGCATACGCAAGTACATTCAAGCCATTATCTCCATACATCCGCGAGCTATATGCAGAGTCGCATACCTCTATCGCATCCAACAGACTGTGTAGCGATCCGCCATAGCGATACCATGTCATACTCGCGTTGAATGAGTTACTCAATCCTATCGGAAATGCCGGTGTCCCGTTGAAATAATTCTAATAAGAGATACGCGTTAGAGACTATACTGAAATTTTCGTGAAAGACTACAGTGCGGAAAGTGCTACCTCGAAAGAGAAAATGCACGGAGTAGCGCAACGTGTTGCGGAGCTGTGTTCCCCCATCCTAAAGCGTTATCCTGACGGTGGATTGTCCTGCAACCTTTTTACAAACGCCACAGGATTGAGTGACTTCCAGAGTATCTTGTGGTATTATACATGCATATACACAATACATCTAGCATGAATGTTCTAATTGTGCCCGGCTAAAACTTCAGCTTAACGCTCTGAAGTGGAGGCTGGACAGGGCAGATCGGCCGCCGTGAACGGTAGGGTTATACATTAATTAGGATATATTAGGAAAAATATACATCTGTGAATATCGCATTGGGAGATATGATAACAGACATCTTGAACGGAGTTGCATGAGACGTCTGAGGGCAGTTCAGAAATCAACAATATGGATTTCTTCATGGAGTGGCGTAGTAGCGAGGAGGGTTCGTGGCTTCTAATTCCGCAAGAAACATACATCGATGATACGGTTTTGTACTTGCAAATTTGTTAGCAAAGTATATTGCTACTATTATTATTATGATCAAATGGTATGCCTACACATGACAAAACAATAAGCCTAAATAAGTAGACCGCAATGGAATGGGGAAATTGAATCGAAATTCAGCAGAAGTATAACAAAAGAAAAACGCTAAAATTCACAGTAATCATACATAGAAGTATGTTATGGTAAGTGCAAAAAGAACAAAACAAAAGCAGACGAAAAAGTAATCGAATTATAACACAAACAGCATGAACAAACCGTGTGGACAAATAAATGAGCAAGGGTTAATTACATTTTATGGATGTACTGGTGTCTTTGCTTAAGCTTTGTATAATTGTTCTCAAAGCTTCGGAAAAAATATAGTGGAAGCGCATAGAAACAAAATAGAAGGAACCTACATTAACCTACGTTTACGCAATTGTTTCTAATGTTAACACTAAGCTTTCCTTTCTTCCCAGCGGCATTGAAAACGTGTCTACGGCCAGCTTTGAATTTAGACCCTAGGTCCCTAGACCCTAGGACTGGGAGGTCATCACAGCGCTCTTACGGGAACGCATTTTTACAGACCTACTGCTGTCGGTAACTAAGTTCGATCATTGACTTCAGCAGACTGCGGCGGATTCGGATGAACTATTTTTTTCCTCTGCTGGCTTAGTTACCAGCATCTTAACGCAATTTACGGCGAAAATTATTTTATATTTGAGATTATTACCGTTGTTTTGTTATTCAGAATTATCCGACCGTAGGATTTCCACCTGAAAAAAACTGGCCCGATATAGCTGCACATACCAGCCAGAGAGATAGGTAAGTCTACGATTAGGACGCAAAGCAGACTTACTCTCTATGGAGAACTGAGCTGATATATGCCACAGCGTTTACGTATAACGCGTAAAGGAAACAGCAACGCGCGATCATAGGAAGAATATATACGTTATGAACTGCTTCACAAGCGCAACGTATATCTGTTCATAGGGCTCCCACTACCTTTAATTGGTAAATATAAACATGTTTCACTTATGGCTGGAAGAGCTACAGGTACCTGGTAAAAGTATCGACACAATATCGGTGACCTGTTTTTAATAACTGATACAAACAAGCACGATTTTAGTAACAGCACCACGATACGTAATTAATCATCGTTGTTAATTGATCTGTTGTACGTATGGCACACGAAGTCGCCCACTTTTAATGGCGCAAGCATTTTTTAAGAGTGTTTTTAATTTTTCTCTTAACTTAATGTGATCAAAAAACAAAATTCATCACATACGTTATCTCTAATAGTACAGATAGATCCATCCACATGTTTCTAGAAAAATACCGGTACTCTAAAGCACAGTGGATATGACGAAAACACGAAATAATCACAAGCTTTAATTGTGTCCGAAACTCCAGTTCGTAACGGTACCCTTATTGATGACCCAAGAAAAACTAACGCTACTTAATATACTTACTAATACTTAATGAAATGCATAATTGAACAGGAAATAGAAAAAGGACCCGTCCACACGATGATGACATCTAACACGCATTAGCTCTCAATGGGATCAATATCTTATAAGTCTTTCGGGCTCATTTGTCGTCGTAGCAGCAGCAGCAGCAGCAGCAGCGGGCCTATCGGCTGCCTGTGCTATCCATGTTGTTTTTCGTAGCCTAGATCTCGTCGTATGGAATAAACTCCAATTTAGCGACTAACAGCAGCAGGCAGATGAGTTCTGTGATGAATAGGATTATACCTCTTCTAATTCAACGGCGTTCGAAAACTCCTCTATTATCAACAACATCGTAACAAAAGTAAACTGAATTTGATGTTCTCCTTACCCAGTCCGTCTGCTGATGTGGGTAGTTTTCCCGCCTGACCTCTTTTCGTCCAGCGTGCATCAGCCATTTTGCACGAAGTGCCGCTAAAGACGAATGGCGTTGTTTGCTTTAATCGTACCACACAAGTGTTTCGTAGCTGCGATACATTACTACCAGTCTTTTTCGTGCTTCTGTTCGTCTCCTCGTCGCTGGAGTTACTGTGTCTCAGGACAGAGGGCAGGCACAGCTAAGCTGTGTCCGTCAACCTTACCAGTGAGAAAGACACGTCTTGCCGGGTGTTGATAGTTGTTCCAATTTGTCGTTATGCAACCGCAACAGCAGCACGGACAACAGCAGCAACAATTGCCGCCGGTGACTCGTCAACATGTAAGTTCGCTCATCCATCCACCTACCGCTGGGGAGAATATAACTTGAACCCATTGACCGTAAAAGAAAAACTGCTAATAGTCTTTGAAAGATCATAGTATGTAATCAAAAGGGTACGAACGCGTACTAATAAGCGGCTGTAGTGGTTGTGTACAGATGATAGCCATCTAATCGATGCTGACAGCTAGTTCTGTATGCGCACGCACATGCCGTATGCATATATGGCTGGTTACATGCGTTAACCATGTTAGCGAAGAGTCGGGTTACTGTCTTAGTTAAACGATACAATAACCTGATATAGTGGTATCGAATATGGCGGCGGGCAATCGTTTGGTGCCAGGTGGAAAAGTTGGAGTGACTAACTTTCCAGTGCACAACCACATTGGGATAAAAGATAATATAGTGGATAATTCGAAGCACGGGATGCGGAAGCTTTCCGAGTGTGAACTGAAGATATCTTAAGAGCCATAAGGCACAATAACACATATCTTTATTATAATAATTATCTAGACGCTGGACGGAATATTTTTCCAAAGTACAACGCATTTCAAAATATTACCCACACGGCTGGAAAGATCATAACATCTTCTTATGGTATCCTGGATACGACAGTTATATTAATCACTCGCTTCCTGGTAAACTCATGCAGATGCGTATTTCGACTACCGACTACAGGTCGTAATATTGCAGAAATGGTAATTTCACTTTTTGAAATGTGGCTCGCCATATAATAATTTCAAAGTAAGTTTAATTAAACGTATTACTTCATAGCATTACAGATATCGCTTATCTCAATCTGGGCATAGTGGGCTTATTGATGCTTATGGAAGTTCTATACCGGAGACAGGTTACAGATGAATTTTAGTGATTAAGTTCAACTGATTGAACTTGACCTTTACCCCTTCCGCAAGCTGACGTTTACAATTAATAGCACTTTTTTTTTTTATCAGTCAATAACTGCAAGTTTGTGAGTGTTTATACTTCAGCAAACGTTGTATCTTCGTGCTGGCTCGAACTATTATCGTAAACGCCTTTATATAGAAGCAATAATGGATATTTTTGATAGTGTAGTTATGTTCACCATGTTTAATTTTGCTTTGTTAATGCCGAGGTTCATTTAACATCAAGTTCCCTTATTATGCCCAAGCCCCAGATAAACCTAGAACAGCCTGCCGCTTTTTTCTACAAATAGAACAGTAAGTTTCAGAGAGAAGTAATTTAACAATAACATTTTTATTTTTAGCATGTTGCGTAGATTAACAAATGCGCAGCATAAAACAAAATCTCTATTTGAAGAAGTCAGAGGTCACGGGCTCAAGCCCCGCCAGATACATATAGTACACAACGAAGAAACAAGATAGGCTGTTTGGTCGATCATGTGACAATTTACAATTTGAATTTTTCAGGATCAATCCGGAGGAATTATGGACCTTGGCCGCTCAGAGGCGTGGGCCCGCCCTTTCAAATGCGCGATCTGCGGGCGTCGAGCAGCTGATAAGTTCACGATTGAGCACCACGTACAATTTGGTTTGCCTATCTCATATTATAACATTTACTATTATTTAAAATACTTAAGTAACATCGTAAGTTAAATCGTAAATTAAAAAATCTCCTCATATCAATCATAAAGTTGTTGAGGATAAGTGCCTTTATGTTTTTACCTTACGTATATCCCGGTAGAGCACGGAGCACGCGATCGATTTATTTCGGCTTCGATGACGGCACATCAATTACGGCTTCCGGGTGCTACGCAAGCGGGTTCCCAGTCGTATGGGCCCCCGTTTAGAGGCCCCGAGGATGGGATTCAGCCGCGAATGTACGCTTCGCCCTCGTCTGTGCTAAATCCGCCGCGCTACGTTCAGCAGGCATTGAGAAGTGCTTCCGGGGAGCTTCTCGGCTGGAAAACGTACGGACACGGCAAAATGAATAAATTATACTGCTTTGTGACGAGTTTTATCGTATGTATAAGGAACATACTTGAATGATTAAGTATTTGTATGTCGCATAACGTTTCAGGTCAAAAGACGCATTAAGCGAATTTAGGTACGTATAATATCCAGTTTCGAATAGAAATGCTATTCTTAGACGTCCAGTTTATGAGTGACTTGCTGTACCATTTTAAGCATAGCCGATAGTGTGATGTAGACGATAATGCCTCTAATGGTCATCTCAGAAACAATGATTCCATGTAAGGACTTAAGCTAGACGACTAATTTCCCTTTAAGCTTCGAAATACAGCGTTCGGAACTCGCACGTACCTAGTCATTCTAGCTGAGCCCGGTAGTTCCTTATTCGTGCTGAAAAAATTCTCAGGCCAAAATACCCTCATAAGGATTAGCTATCCTTTAGCCATCATGATAACTATTGAGAGAGAGCGTGCATAGTTTGGATCTTCACATGCAGAAAATCATTCAGCGAATATTGCAATTATGATTAGGTATTAACAAGCAAAGAGTGTGCCTTTGTAGATGTTCAGGAAATTTATCATTTTTTTCGTGTCCTTGCTTTCCGTCGACCTTTGCGAAGCCATTGATTTTCGTAAAGGTGTTGCTTTTAAATACGAAAAGATTCCTGACGGAGCAACCCTGAGTCGTTTCGTGAAAGACAGGGCTTTCAAAAAGCCTATCTCAGATTTGTGAATTTTTATAAGTCTCTGATGTAAAATTTCAGCATATCTTAATATTAATTATTGAAATAAAGATCACATGTACGCGGGTTCTAACCTGGTATAAGACAAAAGCTTTCCAAATCCTGTTACTGAGACGATTCGGCGAATCAAGACACAAAATTAATCCTGTGTCGTCATTTCAAAGAAAAACTAAGCGAGGTTAAATTAATTAATGATTTTAAATTTATAGTACTCGGTGGGACTTTGATTGATGCGAATGATTTCTTTTTTTTTTCCAAATAAGTCGTTAAGGTTCGATATATTTAGCATAAACATCACTTAAGCTTCGAACCGAAAATCGTCAATTGTGGCTGATACTCTTTAACAGTACACTCATGTAAGCTAAGCTGCTTCATTTTTCTGTGTTCGTTTACTTCGGAAAGTGTCATCGATCCTGGATTCTCCGAGCGATATGCTTCCAGCCGCCCGCTTGGGCTTCGTAGCTCGATTAGGCGTGGTTCCAGCACGATTACAACTGCCGGCAAACAACACCTGTGGACTGAACCCTTCTGTGCACAGCAGACTACGTCAGCTGGAACGCTAGATCACCTGAGCATGGCTGGATCGAGCGTGGAAATAGATCAACGTCACTACCAGACTGAATTGGCTTCCGTTGAACGTGGCCAGTCGTACATGACATCTGGAGCATCAGCTTCAGGCCAAATATATCCTCACGGAATAGTGGGTCCCGCTGCAGACCTTCAGCGCTCACTGCAAATAGCTCGACCATCACTTGATGCTCAGCGGCAGTCTCACCCAATGCCTGCACCATTGTTGAGTGGTTCACGCTACGTGCAGATTCCTGGAGCGGGATCTCCGGCGGAAGATCATCTTCAAGGACAATTAGCAGGACTATCGGGATACAGTCCGTATCACGCACAATTGTCACAAATATCTGTAACCTCGGGATCGATAAATGGAGTACTCGACGCAAAAGCGTCTTCACGGCCCGCTGAAAATTCGTCCTGCCAATCACAGGCAACCAGAGGGACATCAGAAAGCGTACAACGTCATCTCCAAGTTGCTGCATCACAAGTTGATCCATCTCAACGAAATTCATGGCTGTACACGGCATCTGCCTCCGCCTTTAATCAACGTGTTCATCCATATACCCCCGGCCACCCAGTAGACTCTGCACCAATGTCCAGCGAACCCTCAACTCGATTACCCATGTCGCTGTCCGATAATCCGTTGACGCCAGGGGCTCAACCGATAGTCACGCAACTGTACCCGTCAAACAAGAGCGGACAACTTGATGAACAGACTGACGGAAGCTGCTCCTCTAGCCAGTCAAAACATCGCAATACGACTTCTGCGCAAGCTTCGTATCTAGATAGTCGGCGAGGATATCTGCCAAGTGGGTCATATTCAAGTAGCCAATACTATCATTCGACTGAGGCTCTTCCAGAGCAATTCCGCCCTCAACCGGACAGTTTACTTGCTTCTTCAGAAGGCGATCGGGCTAAGCAAAGTTCGTCCAGCTTCACGGAGCTGGGATCATATGCTACTGGACCGAGACCCATAGCATCCCAGGATCACTTCCCTGACAATCAAGGAAACGCATCAACAGCGCCAAGCGGCCAACCGCAGGTTTCTCTTTATGAAGGGAATAAACATCTTGAACAAATATCGCACCCACTTCCGGGTTCGTCTGGACAGAAAAAACGAGATAGTCATATAGTCGACCAATGCATAGACAATTCTCGACACGAATTCGCAAACTCAGTTTCATTTCAACCAAACTACACAGCGCACGGTACTGGTACAGGACATGAAGCTCATACTCAACAAGGGCCTGCCACTACCGGAGACCAAGCCCGCTACCACGACACAGGTGTATTTACTAACACTGAGCGTGGCGGGCTATATCCCGATGAGCAATTACAGATGTCAGTTAATAATAAAATAGAAACTGTATCGGAAAAACGTGAAATTTCGGAGGAATTTGAATCAGGCGTTTTTAAGCGTCGTGAAACAATGAATCACCGCGAGGCCAATCGGGGGGAGGACAAGGAAAATCAGGAAGACACGCCCTCAGAATCGCAAGGTTTGCCTGTCGCGTCGACGGCGCTTTTTTAACAAATAAATACACATATCCATCTTGGAACTATACTAATTAAATTGACTAAATCAATTGAATAATAAAATTATAACGCCCAGACCCCGTAGCATGGCAGCAATTTAGGTGGCCTTATGAAATAGCTCATGATCGAAAGAAGCAACCTCCTTTAAATGGAGTTATCCTATAGCTTCGTATATATTTTATTCATTATGTGATGAACATGTAATTTCTACGCTGATACTTCCACACGATTCCTCAAAACATCCGTCAAATTCTATTATAAATCAAATTCCTACAGGGCTTGTATGAAAATGGCAGTCATCTTTTATCGTAGAGTCAAGGTATATGATGTTCCTCATTTCATGCATTGTCTACTTCGGCTTTGCAGAGGGCGAATCAGACGAAACCGTGCAGTCCATGGTAAATAGCAACCGTTGCCGACGATGTGGTTGTGCTGTTCGTGGCCAGTGTGATAACCCCAGTTCATTGATTGAACCGGACAAGATAATAATTATCACGAACTCCAGCTCCGCGTCGACTAGTCAAATGACGGTAATGATAAACGTCAACCTTTATACTACGCGCTCCTTCGTTCCGATCGTCCGTTCGTAATTTAACATTGATATTATTGTTATATCAAGCTATAAGTACGTACTATCACAGTAGAACATTCAAGAAAACTTACATTGGATGGGTAAAGATCGACTATGAGATCTATCTGTTTTTATTGTTCTATTCACATTGTGTAGGTATGGTGTAGGAAGGGTGCCCTGAATCAGCGATGCCAGACTTTTTCTGCTAACGAGCGTAACCTAGGTGGATGCTATAAGTTTTTACATACACAAATGTGCTAGGTCAGGTCGATATGGCTCGCAGTGCAAGGTTACCTTGTTTTGTGTGCAGCGGTAGAGAATCAGGGAAGTCACTCATCGCTAGCTCATGTCATACTGAGTCTAATACTGACAGAACCTGGCAGAAATAATCGAAACTGTTATTTTAAAAAAGTCATTAAGGGACACGCTGTTGTTTTTAGTTCATCTACGTTTACAGCTATAACTTTGAATAGTTTCTCATAGTTAAATTTTAGCTTAGGCTATCACTAGTAATAGCCACTGCTGAAAAATAAAAACATTTTTCTCATTTTTTAAACTCAAAGTTCAAGTAACGTTGGCAATTCCCGATCTGACTTGTGCGGTTTGCAAGTGAGCTGTTGAAAACCTCCAATTATACCTGTCTCATTAAAGATTACTGATGGCGATGGGGTACAGGACGATGCCTCCGAATCCGCACCCGAAGTCGTGTTACCAGATGCGTGCTATGACCAGCCTACCGGCGGAGAAAACCAGACAGAGTGCGCTGATGATCACAGCACCATTGGCCGGACCGATTCAGAGGACTTCAGTCGTCTAGTTAAAAAAAATGAGGAAGATCCTCCCTTAGTTAACGGAGTCGCCGATGAGGCTCGTCTTCTGCCGACTATTGATGACCCCGAACACATAGAACCCGACCAGGAGGCACCTATGCCAATTCAACCTAACTTACAGACACAGTCAGAAGCTAAGGATTGTGACCTTGCCTAATAACGTGGGTTCTATTTTTGACCTGATTGCTTTTGTCACAGAGTATAGGCAGAACCATAACCCTTACCTAATTTAAATACTGGATAGATTTATGGTACGGAAACATCTAAGCGTAGTAGTTAACGTTGAGTATTCTATGATGGTTTTGTTAAAAAGTATAGGTGTTCCTGTTTAGAGCACAATTGTATTTTAGATACTGGGGCATCTTTACTTCAACAATCTAAGTGCAATACATTTAGCCTAAAAGTTGTAGCTAGGTAAACATATGGGCAGTGACTATAGTGTATACTTTTTGCGCTAAGTGAGGCCGTTCTCGACATACAATTGCAAAAAGACAGTATTACATTAATTTCTATATACTAAAGCAACTCTCTCCCACAAAAACCCATGATCAATCGATGATTTGTTTGTTAGCAAAGTTTTTGTGCCGGACCTTGTGCATAGTAGCGTGGCTCCTGTATATTGGAGGCTACTGACTACATCACTGTTTTGTTTATACGAATTAAAACCTGGTCAATATATATTTACTTACATATATAGCATACAGCCTATCGAAATAAATAAAGTTATATTTTTAATACTTGTTTAAAATGTTTGAGTTTATTTTTCAGAGGATATAGATTTTTGCTCTCATAAGTGCATTAAGCAGTGTCTAATTCCTTATGGAAATTGACTCATGAAAGATAAATTCCTCAGTCCTCTATACTGAGGTAACTTATTGCGGCGTTATACGTCTGGGTTAGCACTTTAACACAAATTTGAACTTTGAAACGACAAGTAGTTATTACGTAACTAGTTCAATAGACGCTGCCGATCCCTTTGTCTGCATTTTTTTTTTCTAGACACACGATACAAAACACCGACGAAGGTCTAGTACCCTGTTATACAACAGATGTGTAGGAAGTTTGTTTTTTGTTTTATAAACACTGACAACCATTCTGTTGGTGACACCAATCAGACTGAACGCCTTAGAAGAAATTGAAAAAAAACTGTGTTGTTGTTAGCGTGCACCCCTTACTAACTGGGGAATTTTGCTTGTCCTTGGCCGTCTTCCTTCATATCATATCATACCAATCGCCTATCGATAAGGTCACCATTGTGGTGTATTGACTTTAATTATACTAGATTATCGAATATTTACAATCTTAAGACTGTTGCAGATAGTAACAATAACACTTTGGTTGTCGTACGTCGAAATATTACATCCCTCAAAGGACTAGCTCGGAATAATACTTTCATAAATTTCCATTACATAATTTTTTTATTACATATAAATCAAGCGTGATTGTCAAAATATCATATCGGATACACTTCTTTAGCTCTTTATTTGGAAAGGGCATTACCTTCAGGATCGAAAGTACAAAAGAAAAAATTTGATAGTCTTAACTTACATAAATCATGCTCACTATGATGGGGGTGATCCGCGTTGCGTTCATCCCCCTTCTCCGTTAACAATTTTAGCTTTTCAAATACGTGACAGGTAGTGGTATCCTATCGCTCGGATTGCATATTGTTCAAGTTGGACCCAGCCAGTTTCGGGATACAAAAAGCTGCTAACATTTGTGCCCTTGACTAGAAAATTATTTTCAAAAAACGTGTATTAACAACTTACTTGGATAAAGAATAGTTTTTGTTCGATCTGTTCAGTCGTTATTTCCTATCTGCATCTGCTGACTACTTCTGGATGACTATAGATGCCTCGAGTATTTGTGCCACTTAAAATTCGATGAAAATGAAGTTGTACCTGTGTGAAAACTGCGGTCGTCAAGCAAGCCTCAACGATATGCCAATGTTCGCAGCCTATAGTAGCTAGTCAAAGAGCTTTAATAATCATAATGTTCTTATATACATATATTTAATAGCCCTTCCAAAATAAAATAAACAATGTAAATACCCAACAAAATAAACAAATGATACAGACAATGGCGATCTTCTAAATAAAGCAATTACTACTAGGATTATCGAGAACAGGCCGCCAAAAATGCACCTTAACTGCGTATTCGGTTTGAGTTACCGTTGGTGCTTAAGCAATAGTTAAAGTTTTCCTTATGTGCAACAAAGAAATGTGACGACACCCTAACACAGCTGGCCGTTTTAACGCCTGTAGAGGAATAGTAAGCAGCCAAAAAGAAGTCTGTCTGGTCAACGGTCGTACACGCACGTGCGTAGAATGAACAGTAATTGAGAAGTTGTTTCTTTTCCAAAATATAACACGTACGAGCAGACGGTAAAACAGTCTGCGTTTGACGAGCCAATAACTGCTGATCTTCTGCCTGGGCCATGATCTGTATACCGGAACAAATCACAGCTGACTAACGATTAGACACTCCCGTCAGTCGTAACCTTGCCCTAGGTCAGCTCACCTTTACACCGCTATGTCTGTACATAATATTTTTTACAACTAAGTGTCTTTACTTCTGTGTCTAGCCTTGTCGTTAAGCGTTGCTTCAGATATTCATCTCAAATGAATGCCGTTAGATAGCTTTCTTTTATTATTCTGTTTTCTCTTTCAAACTATTTTAGGAATACCAGGTGTACCCGTATACACTAGTATACATACATGTTTACATTGGGTCAATGAGCTTTGATCGAGTTTGCGCGGATCAGCTCGCGAGACAAGGACCAGCTGAAGGGCAAAATTCTGTTTCCCATAGTCTACAGAGAGTAGGCCTAAGCCAATGCATCATATCTATGGATACAGACTACCGCGACGAACATTTCGAGACTGTATTAGCACACCAAGGGCAACAGCTGAGCAGTAGTCGGTAACGGTCATGGTATTGGCTGTGGCGTCGTCCGCCGCAACAGCAGCGGCAGTGTTATAGCTCGACGTTAACCGCAAGCCACAAGAGCACAAATTGCGAAGTATCTGACCGTAAAGAACAGCCGACGGCTCGGTCCATTCCTAACGATGATCTATTTAAATCGGCAACCACTAAATGGCGTATCGGCCCATCGTGTTACTGCCAACCATAATACATTTCGTTGTTACTGTAACTGCCAGAGCCGTCGTTGCTAGCGTGTCTTTAGGTCCTGACCGGCCTTGCCGCTGAGGTAAGATGCAAAGGTACATCGACCGCGATGGTAGCCGTCCTTCGATTGAAGCACGATGCCACAGGCACACTTCTGGCTTATTCAACTGAGGCATTATCTTCCACAATTTGCATGTAAATATTTCAATCAGGAGTGCGTTCATACGATGTTGCTGCCGACAGCATAATAGAACTTTTCATTCAGATCTGCCCGAACGTAATTATATGCAAGCGAGCGATCAAGTGAAGCCTCAGCGCCCTGTCGAGCCTACTCTATCGCCTTTTGATCCGCATTCAAGTTCGAACGAGGCCCCGATTATGCCCGTCTATGACAGCTTTAGTCTTGCCCTGTCTATGAATATACTCACAATAGATTGCACTACATCTGAGTCGTACTGCATGCCTAGTCCCCGGAGTCTTGTTGTTGCGTATGCGTTCCCCCGCCAGGCGGCAGTCAACTTCGACGGCCGCTCTTTAAGCCGTGAGGGCCTTTACTTGTTCATCTCCCCTTCGCCTTTTGGTTCTGGCGCTACAGCTATTTGCACGTTTACAGGGTCGGCATCCTCTGTTCGTTCGACTCTCAAAGTTATCTTCACATGCTACTGTAATCACAAGGACAAGGTTGCAGTGTAACCGCGCTACTATTATAGTTTTTCCATTAAGTTTGAATCGCTTCTTAGACTCGCGTCTCCAACCTTCGGTTGCCGCTACCGCCGGTGGCTGTGGCGGCTTTTGAACTTGCGGAAAAGACCAGTCAAGTCCGCACGTGACTGCTGCTCCGAATCCAGAAAGCTTGAGACTTGAAGTTGCTTGCGTTCCTGACGAACGTACCACAAAGACAGCCTAAGCAAGAGTAGCGTAAACGAAATACTACGATTGACTGAATAACCGGCTTGTCTCACACACGTCGGTGCCAGCCGACTCTGACAAACGAGATTGTGTAAGGCTGAATGCGCGGGCATGATCACCGACCGCATGCTGACGGCGCGTTGCTGGTCGTAAAGAGAACAATGCTCATAGAGAGATACGGATGCAGGAAATTATAGCAGACCGAGTCAAGGCTGTCTCAAAGGTGAAGCGTTGATACAGTTCTTGTGAATACCCCGAGCGAAGTGCTTAAATATAATAATACGCATATTAGACAGGTGGCAGAAGTTATTGGAGGACCTGACATTTATGCTGGTGCATAACCTAAGCAAATCTTGCGTGGCCTAAAAAGACGACACGGTGCTCGTAGGCTTCGTTGGAAGCAAGTAAATAGATTATGCAAGTGCCAAAACGCTGAGCGAAGACAAAGGGGCATTTGGGACAATTGTGTTGTGTATGGTGCCGTTAGTGGATTTTGACAAAGCAATCTTAACCAATTCCGTTCTAGGATTCATAGTTAATGACATCGTTTAGGACAACTACTACATCAGAGTGAGTCGTTTCATTGGAAATATTGCACACGATCATGTAACAAATGTTAACAATGTGACTGGATAGAGGTACAAACAATTAGTACCTTTTCAATAGATGCCTTATAATATTGATATGATAAATTGTCGTACTTTAATAATCATAATAAATTAATTTTGGCTCTGTTTAGGCTCTTTTGAGTAACGGTTACTAGGTGTCTTCTTACGTCTCGCCGTTGCTTTTTCTTTATTTTTTTAGACCGGTCTATTTTTATCTCTGTCGAACTGGAAACGGACCCGCGGGGAGGATCACTTGCCTATCATACTTTGAATAAGAGAATCCGAAATGTCGACACCAAAAAAACAAAATGCAGTCCTGCCTGAGCATGTAGATTTACATGCTCTACTTCGATGACCATGCGGCCTTCCGACGAAAATGGGTCTACCAAAAGACTCGCTGAAAAGTCTTATTTCTGGAAGAAAACGACGGTGCGATTAGATGAGTGATTGTCGATGATGGTAAAGACAGAATCCCATGAAATACGTAACAAGTAAAAGTATGACGTATAGCTGGATCATAATCTGAAGTAAACTTTTCTACGGAGCATGAAGGCGACGATCTTTTGCAGCGTCAGCCGTGCTAAGCCTCAACTGTCCCGTAATTAATTTGGCATCGTTTTTGAAGTAATCTTCGCTGCTTGTTTGGGGCTCGCCAAAACTTTGACGTTGGTCTAAAAAGTGGGTCAGACCCAGTGATAAGAACAATTTTATCGCTGTGATAAACCTGACCAGGCCACCTTGAACATGTCAACTTTCCAATCAAAAGCGGTACCTCGTTATGTAAGCAGCAGTCGCGCGTCTTACTTTTATACGACGCTTCTTTTATCACGCTTAAATAGCAGGAATCTGTTTTTCTTATTTTTATTTAATATTACATATTATTATTATTAATATTTTATTTAAGTAGGTTTTGATTAATAATACATTTTTAATAAGCGAGTGTACAAAGTATGCGTCCGAATAATGGTACCTAGAATTTCCTGCATCAAAGGAACTTAATTGGCTGCCTGTTTCGTAAAACCGTTTTACCTGTAATATGTTGCCCGCTGATTTAGCTAATTTTATTTGCTGAACGCAATAACTAAAACACTGCTCAGAATGGTTTTTCTAAGGTATTCTTTCCGGCCAGCTTACTCCCTCAGCTTGCGTCCTATCAATTGATACGAATAGTTATATCGTTTAGTCATCAAGACATTTTGTCGATCAGCTTTTCTTTCGTAATTCTTTCGAATGCAATAGATATACTCCTGGGTCCTTTAGGGAAAAAGAGATTGATAGAGTTTACGATGCCTTACGCACTGAACGACCCCAATTGGCACAAGTATGTCACCGAAAGGCCACAGCAAAGGCTAGCTGCATGTAAACTAGTTCTAGCTTCTATGAAAAAAAAAAATGTAGTTCCATGCTAGACACTAAACGGTGGCTTTCTGAGTATAAGTAGCTCGTATGGTCTGCAACTACAATTAATTAATAAATTTACATCAATAAAATAAAGATTCCAAACTCTACATTCGATCATACCGTTCAGCGTTGTTTCAGACAACTAATTCTCAGCGTGGAAGGAAACACGGCCTTCTCGAGACATATACAATTGTATGCACGTTTCTCTGTGAAGCTCAAATACACCGCGTAATCTCAAACATCCGCAGTCTGAATGGTCGATGTCACCATATCACCACCGTCTCCATGGGGGCCATTTAAACAAAATTCAATATCTAGATTAGTTTTTTTTTCCCCCATTGGTATACGCCACGACATTGTGACGACTTAGCGGAGCCTCAAATGAACTATCCTGCTTTCTACCTTACAGTTATCAGAAATGTATGAGATAAGCTATTCTACGTTTTTCTGCACGTATCGGCCATATCTCGTAATTAGAAATATAGACCGACTCCGTTCTACCGCTGTGACATTGCAACAATTAAACGCCTTGTTGTGTTGTTGTAAATGGCAGAAGCCTATTATTGAACTAGCTTGCTTAGCAGCTTATATATGAGAACTGTTCTTCTGAGACCGAAACACTTCTTTTCAGTCGTTAGTGAAGTGCAGTGTCATATGCTCGACATACCCAGTTTGCCCAGGTCATCGCCTCTGCTTTTACCAGCTCGTAGTCTTCGCTAGCTAATGCTCTCAAGACGAAATATGGCTATTTATTTGTGTCAACAACCGTTTCAGTTAGCTCTATCGCTAGAAACAACTATCTGTAAATAGCCCCTGAGATATTGGATAGCAAAGCTTGATACTCGAAAAGATTAGAAGCTGATTGATGGGCTGCCACGAGGGATTGACTAACTAGATGACCTTTGTGCGTCGTGAGGCTCTACGACGAGCCCGAACGAAGTAGCGGGATTGCTTGAAAACTGGGTTTCGTGCTAGTTGCGTCATCATCTGAGCATTTTCGCTAATAGTGCAATTTTCAAGTGACGTGTGGTGAGTTTAGGTTAGCGTTCGGGTCATTCGGCCAAAAAATAACGCTTCCTTTTTAACGGCGCACGCAAACGCGATAATTTCTCAGTGTCTTAGAAACTGTACGTGAAATCCACCCATAGTGAGCCACATGGGACAATTTCTAAACCCGATTATGTTTCAATTTCTGATATTTCAACAAAACTATTATTCATAGATACGGAAGCGTCTATTATAGATAAGCAAATAATTAAGCTGCTGGCAAACTACCTTCTTGAAGAATGAACTCACCCGTCTCCTCAAAAAAGGACGAACTATTGGCTATCCTGATGACGACCCAGAGATCGCATCAAAAACCAAAATGTTAATGTGAGTTTGGTAAGCGTGCTGTGATCAATTGAAGTGTACGAGTGGGACGAAACAGTGACAAAACGGAAACTGGGCTTGCTTGGGAACATTTTAAAAACGTCCGGCGTATTTGAGTATGCGAAGAAGCCGAACCGAAAAAGTGACGACCGTCTATTTGCAGTCAACATTTATACATTGATCGATAGTTCCTGGGATAGGCAATCAAATTAATGTTCTAAGCGATAGTTCTGTAACGCCGAATTCAATCATAAAGCCGATACATTGGTATAGTGTACAAATCCGCCAAGTATCTATAAGCCCAGTAATTACTGATAAGCTAATAAGGCTCATTACGTGCTCAATTTAAAAAAAAAAAACATTTTCTTGAAGTATTGTTATTGTTTCTGAAAAAAAAGAGCCGTATATAGGCACACCTGCGCGGTTATGTACATATTTGACTCGCAGTAGGACTCGAACGTTTTGTATAGAAGACACATGCTCTATTGACTCAACGGTCCTAAAAGATGGTTACGATTAGAACTAATCTGACACCTATACGGGTGTAATGGTCTGGGCGAGATTTCTATTTTTTGCCCCAATAACAATGTCAAGGAACGACACTAATAGGTAAAGCGACTTCGGTGGATCGAATTTAAGGGATGTATGGTAGGGCCATCTCATATACGGTTTTAAAAAGTCGACATCGACTCATTTCGACCCAATGTCGAATACGTAGCCGAAGCGAATAGGCAAATAAAAAACGATCAAAAACTGTAGACCCCAATTTTCCAGGTGGCAAAGGGCACTTGCTTTTGCGTTATGCTCTTGGCATTTGTAGGCGTGACAGGCATACAGAAACGCGGAAAAGACCTTTCGAGGGAAAGTAAGTGGAGGAGCCTAGTCTATATGACTGCCTGGTCCTCGACTTAAACCTATACAGGTTATCCTGTAAAGTATTGTTAAAGTTTGACCGTTTCAAAAATTACCCTTTCGTACCTATGTCTCGCGTATTTAGACAGACACGTTTATTTGAACTGTATTTGTCCCCGGTGTGCGTTTATTACTGCTCAGAATCGCCGGTATGCCAGGCAAGACAAATCTTCCTGAAACGCTGGAATTTTTGATAGCTGAAATACAATTGGATTGTGTATGCACGTATCTGTCAATACTGTTTATGTCTCGACTGATTCGCAGAGATGTATCGAGCTAATGCTACATACATAGAAGATAGCATGTAATAGGACAGCTGTAACTAGTTCAAATAAGAGTGACTGAATTTTCATGCAAGGTTCAAAGCGTTTTGTAGTGACTGGGAAAGCAAGCCTTCTTGAAAAGAATTGCGCTTGAGTTATACCTTTTATGCTATCTAAAGAAAAAAAATAAAGAAACGTGGATATGGGTAACCATAATCACCCAAGGAAATAGGCCTTAAGGAAAGAAGTAGCAAAATAGGTTTTTTTTCTGTACATTTACTCGGGATATATAATCTGGCGCTTAGCGTGTTTATTTGTAGGGCAATTTCGTTTTATTTGAATAGACTACTCTTAAAAGCGAAAAGTTGTTGTGGATATAGCATTTGCCTCGTTCTTTTTTTTTATACACTAGTACCGTAATACTCGAGATACATATAGATCAGGAATTTGGGTTCTTAGGTGAAATGAAGGATTTCCTGACACTGCTCAATCGTTCGGACTCACTGAAGTTGGTTGCCAGCTTCGACTAAAAAAGTGACCACAAATCGCGATACTAGACTCTCTCTAATTACCTAATTTGTGTTGTCAGTATACTATCGTTTGCATGTGTTATATGACATGTAATACCATTATACGAGGGACACAAGTGCTTGCAAGCTATTTGTTAAAAATTCGTTCATCAGAACGGATCAGTACGCAAGCTCTGCACCAGATCCGATTAATCACCACTGAACACCGAGATCTTCATTAACAAAGATTAAGCGATCCTATTTTGTGTGTAGTTGGCTACTTTTTGAATATACACATTCTAAGAACTAGCATGGAAACACAACATACTTGTTACTATCTGCAGGCCCCTAAATATAATTAGGGTGAGGGGTCGTTTAGTTTTTCTGTGTACATAAGCCCAATATTTGTTTTTCAGTTGTCTGCCTGATTCCTGACTGAGTATCTGCCTGCAGTCTGGTGTATGAAAATTTATATATATTCATGGTGAAACTTAGCATGTGAATGT